TAAAATAATGTATCATAACTAATAAATTAAACTATATAAAACAACTTTAACCATAACATCTTCAAAAAGCTATTCTCATTTAATGGCAAATTTCCACTTTAATCACCTTTATTTTCTAATTTGGCACCTCCATTAAATTCTTTATATTCCCTCAGGCATATAACACTCCAAATATATTTCCTACCAAAAGCTTATTTAGCAAAAAAACCACAATATTAATTTGTGGCTACTTAAGCAGGAGCAACTACATTCTACATTATCTAAGCTCAATGATCTTTTTTCACTGTAATTTTTGCTGACCTAACCAATAACAGGTAACAAGCAGTCCTGGACCCTGGGCATGTTAAAATGGCAGTGTGTCCAGGTGTACGTGCCCAAAATCTCAAAAGGGATTACAGTGTGACCATCCTCCACGGGAGAGAGGGTGCTTTTTTACTTACTCTTGTTCTCTCTCTCTCTCTCTTTCTGTCTCACTCTCTTTCCAGTGAGAGGGAGAATTTTTTACTATAAGCCATGTGCTCTTGCCAGAGAGACAGAGAGACAGAAAGTAAGAAATCACTCCCCAGAAGGGACCTCAATCCCTTCTCCATTCTTTTCTCAGGATTTTGGGCATGCACATGGGCCAGGCCTGAGTTTCAAGTTGCCAGATCCAGGACTGGTACTGTGATCAACCATGTGGGAGTCCAGAACATAACCATTACACCATCTGCTGGTCCTGCTCTGGCAATAATTGAAAAACAAAAACAAGTCTGTGTCTGAGAAAATGACTGGGAAACCAAATCCCAATTCATTTATTCTAAAAGTGAACACCACCATTCTGAAGTGTTCCTATCATTTGCACCTGGTGCGCAGATAGAGCGGAAGAGGCCAGAACTCTGTGAAAAAGGCCATAGAGAATTTCGAAAAGCTGGATAAAATTCTCACTCTAGTCAGGTCTAATCAACACTGTCTAGGGAAGATTGCTTGTCACATCCTAACCTAAACTACTGTTCTATTGGATCATCAGAGAAGTCATGACATATTTTTATATAGAAAAACAGAAAAATACATCATGACTCTTCCAATGACCCAACAGATAGCCATCTGCGTGTAGTAAATTATATAAAAATTAACTTACACTTAAAGTACTAGCATTCTTACTCTCTTTAAGCTGTGGTGCACTTTCTGTCAATCACATTTTTATCCCATCATGAAAATGTATATTGGCCTATACTGCTACTAAAATATTGGGTAGAGAATAAGACAGAAATTGAAATCTGTCCATATGTCCTTCCACTCTAGAAAACTTAAAAGTTTGTATTTAAAATTAATAATTATGATGATGAGATTATGATTTGCAGATTTCTTGTTTCTGCTACACACTCCTCCATTTCCACAGAGTTGAGATCTAAAGGCAGAAGATATTCCTCTGGTGCCGAGGCAAGAAAATGGACCAACTTAAGCTCCTATCTCAGTTCTGCCACTGTCAAACTGTGTCATCTTAACAACATAGTCCTTTTAATATTCATTTCATTCAATCCACCCACTAAAATAAAGATGAACTTTTTCATGAAGTTGTCATACTAAAACAAAACTAGTTCATGAAAAGAGAGAACTTCAAAAAAAAAAAAAAAAGAGAGAACTTCAATATTTCTCTTACTAATCACAGTTGTATATCCTAACAGCTTTCTCATTCCTTAATTATCATTTTTATCTGCTCTCTAACCTCACTGAAAAGACTAAGATTCTGATTTAATCAGTTTAGGGTAGGGAGTAGGCATCATAATTTTTTCACAGCTCGGGAGCTGTTATGCAGCAAGAATGAAGAACACTGTCTAGCTCCTTGATTACTCCATTTCCTTATACTCTCTCCTCTTCTTCCAGACCGTACCCTATTGGAACCCTTTTAACTACTCTCTCAATAGCATGTTTAAATCCCCTATAATCACCTCTTTCCAAGATATGCAGTCATTATAATTCCAACCCTAGACATCAAGATCATAATGCACTCCATTTCACAGCTGAGCACCATTAAAGGAAGGCCCGCAACTGGGACTGATGACACTATGATTTCTCCTTTCCAATTCTTGCTGGGCCTTCAACCATCTTTTTTTCCCTCTCTTGGAGAGATCTTTCATTTGTCCCCTTACCCCATTTTCCAGCAAATACTATAAACCTTAATGAAATTGTAAAAATTACTCATTTTATTACATTTCCATCATTAAATACACTTTTTAATATTTTATATGACAAATGGGAAATATACATAAGGCATTTC